AATCACGAAGCACCTAGTGGACACTGACCCTACTTTCGACCAAACGACTGCATTTAAGGTCTTACTTTGGGTGGCTACCGGGCGTCTCTTATGGTTTGTGGAGGCCGCTGCAATACAGAGAGGAAAACCAGCACCCTGTAAGCAGTTGGATCATGTGATCAATATCACATTGCCGGGTAATGATCGATAAACTCGATCCCGCTCACGCCCCCTCGTCCCCCTTAGGACTGACTTCCACCCTGTCCTCTGCCCACCCCCTTTAACCGTATCTCACAGGCTTTCGTGAACATGAACTAACCTGAATTGCCATGCTGTAACCACTACCTCCCCCCTCCTCTACCCCCTTCATCATGGGCTCACACCTAAGATTAATAGCTTCTAATCACTTTACCTATCAAGTTTCACCTTTCTAGGCCGACACTTAATGGGACAGTTAATTATCTGTTTATAGGCAAAGATCGCTTGCAGTTGAATAAGCGGTCATGAAATTATGATGTCAATAAATCCTGCTAATCTCGTGATCGAGAAGAAGACGACTGAATCACTGAGACAACGCTTTTATTTGCCCGACGTTTCGAGATCCGTCGCGGATAGGTCATCACAGATATAAGCAGAAAGCAGTAGCAGATACGGGTAGCATATGCACAGGAATTTGCAGTTTTTATTGGATACAGTCATTAATGCAAACATAAAACGACAACTAACGGTAATTGCCTTCTTGCGCGTTGATAGCTTGTTGACCGGCCTGCAGGCTCTGACTTGCTGAACTTTCATCACACGTGTTGAACTCGGGCGTGATGACTGCTCGGTCATCTTGCACTCTGGTGTTGGCGTAAGACGGCGCGGTGGCCTGTCCGTCCCTCAAGTGGCGACTTGCTTTGGCTAAATTGAGTCTCGGCACCGAATATAGGTTGGAAAAATCGTTGCATTTGTTAATGGATTGGGAGCTCGCGAACCATGACTCAAGTAATTCACGGCTCACACTATTGTCAACTCTTGCGAGAAGTTTGGCCTCATCAAATTTGAATGTGTGGCAGGACCTCGTGGCATGAGCCGAAACTTGATAATTGGAATCATTTTGCTGCACTGCTGCCGAGTGTTCGGCAATTCGCGTCTTGAGAAGGCTGCCGGTGGCTCCCACATAGTTACTTTGTCCGAAACTGCACCAGATCATGTGGACGACTCCTGTCGTCTCACATGTTCGCTTTTATTGGCAATCATGTGATCTTGGTCTTGCGCTAATCTCTTCCAGGAAAACAATGTTTCAATAATCCATAGTCGCAAATGACTGAACTTTTCGACACCGTTGATAAACGTCCTTGGAATAATCGTCAAATAAAGGCCAAATTGGACTGCTTTCAAGACGGCGCTAGCGTCGTGACCTCATACACACACATGACCTCTTTGTAGTTTAAATAAACAACGAGGGATAAAGATTGGTTTGTAATGGGCGAAATATGCCAACCGATGGATATTATAAAAAAATTTACATGCGAATGGAGGGAGAAAAAATGGCTGCTCAGTTTGAAAAGCCCTCCACGATAAAGCTCCCAGTAACTGGTATTCGAGACTGCGCTCGTTCGGGCAGACCCTGCGTTGGCGAGTGGCGAGTCATGTATCCGTGCCTCCTTGTCCCACGTTAATTTTTGCTCTGTTATTTGGCCTATTTTTGCAAGGTCACTTAATGAAGGTTAACCTCCCTTATCTAAGCAGATAGTTAACCTTAATGTCCTTCATTTTAACCGTTTGACCTTGAAACATTCAGGGCACTTAACAATTTTGCAAAACTACGAAAAATCTATATTCTAGGCCTTCTGGCTTATTCCACACAGATGAATCGCCTAAGTACCGAAAATATTGTTGTGATGTCCATAAAATACAAAAGCTCAAAATGTTCTCACGGAATTTTCTGGGATTGTAGGTCTCTACCTTGACTGTAGTATCTGAAAACAATTTTTATTACACATTCTCTCTGCACTGACTTACATGTATGCGACACGACACATCGGCGTGAAAATTATGCGAGAATCGCCTCATAAAAAAGTCCGTACTTCACGTGAGCTCGTTTTTTAATGATGGGATTGAAAAGGAGTTGCGACCTTCCTTTCTTTTCCTTTAGAAAGAAAAAAATACTCAAGGCTGGAAGTGAGGTCATGAAATTTCAAAACCTCTTAGTTAACAGTATCCGGCTGCTGCCTATGAATAAGCTATACTAATTTTCACCATAACCTTAATTCTCTGACCAAAGCAATTGGACAACACTTCGACTTGTTCTATATGCATGTTAAATAATGACTGGACACAGTCAGTACTAGCTCTGTCCTCGCCAGTGACCATTACTGCCTAGGACAACAACATGGAGTTTCGGTTACGATAGATTACTCTCACTGGGTTCTTCTTCGGGATTCATTCTGATGATTGTACTGCTCTGCGTACCTTCATACCTAGGACCACCTACATGTCAAATATACTTACGAAGAATAGTTACAGCGCTGACACCGGATGCTGTAGTTAGCACTGAATGCAAGTTACATGATAATATGCGTCGTAAACGTCGTAATACCAAGGCAATTAGTCACATTCTATATCGTGGTGCAACTGCGTCACCCAGTTGATTCGCAAATCATTGGCAGAGTTCGCTGGTTTTATTAACGCTAGGAAGTTGGTTTCCTGGTGAGTAGGCAAGTAACATTAAGCACAATGAGTGTGACATTTATCATGGCTATGTCATATTCGGGTTTTTATTTGCTACGAACTGCCTGTTAGGAACCAGAAATGGCCGAAACATGTGTCCTTAAGCCAGCTTAGTCATCCACCGACGCCCCAGATCCTGCTCCCGTGTTCTGTCCCTTGACCTCGTTGGCTGCCTTTCCATTCGTTGACACCTCCCACATTCTTTGCTTTCTGTCCTCTGTTCTTACTCACTAAACTGGCAGCCATGCCTCTGCGACACACAAACGACTGCTCGTCTAAGCACCTTAAATGTATGTCCACCTTCCTCGTCTTTTAACCTATCTTGCACTGTTAATCTTACTGTTTATTTCTATAGAACCACACACAAAGAATATTCGAGTTAGTCCGACAGTTTTTTACATAGTTTCTGACCTCGGGCGCGTTTATTCAGATGACAACACTAGTCCTGAACTGCGAAAGGCTAAATAATATTAAGAAAGTTACTGGAGCATGACCTAGCCAATTGGACAAGACAGTTCTCCGGAATTGTCGGAGCCGTCACGAGCTGCTACATTAATCGCTATTGAAAGAAGTGACTTGGATGGACGGCGACTTGAAATGGAGTTTGTCAAAATACGCCTACTAGAAATTTAAAGACGTGTCGATTTAGAAAAATAGCAGATTATGAAGAAGGAAGACAAAAAAGTTGAATGAAGAAATCAAGGTTTCTGCGATAGGTCGACAGCAGCCTGGTAGTTTGTATGATAACAGTGAACCTTCATTAGGCACCACAAAGTATCGTTTGGATCTCCCGAAACGCGAAATTCAAAGATTCGACGAAACAAGAGACATCACTACGCATCTCACTTACTTGATAAATTATTGCGACGGAAAAGAGAAAGAGGGTCCGTGCGATATTAGACGTTGCTAAAGCTCATATCGACACTGAATACCGAAACTGTATTTCGGACAATGGGAGTAGAATTCGATATAGAATCTAAAAGCAGAACAACTTTCATCCGTGTCAGACGAGCGTATTCGGTCAAATTTCTACCGTGGGCAAACCGAGTCGTGCCAATTTACAAACTAACCTCCCTCTGAATACAATCGAATTCGAGTTACTCAAAAATACGGAAATCGGGCTGTTATTGGTATGTGATATACCGGCAACACAATGGGCACACGATCAACGTTTAGGTAAAGCCGAGGAACCTTTGGATGTTCAGACAGTCCTGGGCTGGGTAATGATGGCGTCAAAGGAGTGATCGTCAACTACAGAATTTTCCCCAAGTCACAATTCAGGTAAGACGGATTAGGTTGGGCAGGATACTGTAGGAAAGGAGCTAACAAAAAATGCTTTGCTGTTCACAGTTCAAAAGCCAGTTGTTTTGTGTGCGCGCGGGCCTAGAGGCACTCCGTGATAGGTGCTGCAACCAATCAGGAAATGGGTCACGGAAATTGAGAGGCAGTGTGAGCGGCAGTCATGGCAGATGGAACAAGAGCATCCGGGGTAGATTGCGCGCACGCAGGACTGCAAAGCTTTGCAGGCGAAGGCAATATGGGCCACACGGAGCCCTGCAGCAAATTGGCCATGAGCTTGCGCGGCAGCACAGAGCTTGGCAGCGAAGAAAAGGAGAGAAGAAGACAACTCAATCGCCGGGACAATACTTTTATTATTTTTACGTTTCGACATCCGTCGCGTATTCATCATCAGAGACCTTAGCATTAAACGGTTGCAAAAACGGGTTCCACGCAACCAAGCCAGACAAGGAACGTGTGGTACAGTAATTGGTTAAATGTTCTTATTCACAGATAAACTGACAGCCACGCGTCTGCGCCCTTCCCACGACTGCTCGTCTAAGCACCTCGAATGTATGTCCACCTTCCTTTTGATTTCTACCTCGCATATTTTTATCGTGCACTGTTAATCTTACTGCTTATTTCTGTAGAACCACATACAAAGTAAATTCGAGTTATTCCGACCGTCTTGTGACATAGCTCGGATGCGTCTATTTATGTGACAAAAGTAAGCCTGAACTACGAAAGACTAAGAAGTGTTAGCAGTGAGGCAGACGTGCCCTTCCGGTGTGTCAATTTATTATTCGGAATTTCTCAACTATGAAACGTCATTGGTAAATCTACATGCACCCAATACGAGAAGTCTATAAAACCACATTGTGACAGCAGTTAGAGGTGCGTACCAAGTTTTACGGGATATTTATTTCACACCTAGCAAAACCTCTATGAGTATCCGGGGTTTTGCGGATATAAATATATCGGCTTTCTGGCTGCAAGGTGATTAACGTGAATTAGATCTCTCAGAAACTATGAACGACACGGACGACACACGGTACTTGGTGGTGATGAGTCTAGCTCTACTCCTCCTTATTCTCGGGGTTGCCATTCCAGAATGGGAGTGTGGTGGAGTGTTGTCCACCTGTGGTAGAAAACACTCCTGTGACTACCTGGGCATCGGCGTTGTCCTTTGCCTGGCCATCGTTCTGGTTGAACTTGCTCTTATTTTTATCACCGTCGATCTTGGCATTGACTATAAATAGATGGATACTGCAGCGATCGCATGCACCTGCCTGGGAGCTTTATTAGTCCTAGTGGCAATGCTTCACTACTACGTTGCTGTGAACCCGAAGATTTCGCCTATCCATGCGACAATCAGCTCGTCTTTTATCGTCGCTTTGGCCATACTTATGGTGATAGAGAGAGTGTACAGAAGGGATGTAGAAAGGATATACTTGTAAATAACAAATCCGTTTTTGTTAATTTTAAAATAAACGAATATAACCACGCCCACGACTGACAGTGTTGCAGTTTGCTTTCTTTTAGATCACCCTTTCCGATGTGGGGTCAGGTCGATGAAAAATACTAGAAGGATTATTGAGCTGATTCCATTGTAGAATTTTCCTTTTTTTTCCTCGACTGCACTAAACTTCCGTATGTCGTGCTTGCGAGGCACGGACTCTATGCAAATTTCACCATCCTAAGGTATGGGCATATTACTTTGCATAGGTCAGAAGTAATTTAGCAGCGTCACCTCAAAAACTACAAAATTCGGTTGGACCCTTTCAGCAATCAAATATGGTCGATACCCTACTTTGTTACCACTTGATTTTAACAAATTTCGTGGACTTCATAGTGCCCTTCTAGTTTCGCCAATATAGTAAGAGGGGGCTCTAGGCGGGCTTAGTTTTCCAAGTGAGCACGGGTGGTCTCTGCCAGTACAAGTGGACATGCGAGTTCCTGGAAGAAATTGAGAAGAATAA